AAAATAAGTCATTAAATGTTAATTTTATAATAAATTTGGTATACACAACAAATTAATGTTAAATTTTTATTTATTTTTTTTTTATTTCATCAAAAAAATTATCGTCATACCTAGTTGCTCATATTGTATTTTTTCAAACAAAACAAAAATTAGATTTATTAGCCAATAATAATTACCAAATTATAAATTTTTTTTAAGTATAATTAATACCTAATTTGTGTTCAGCAAGATTTTCACCTTCCAATTTCTGACAATGTCCAGTGTATAAACATTATAAAAAAAATTACTTTGGATACTTTATTTTTACACTTATATATTTATTAGGGTCATTGCCTTTTTATTTTTCAACTCTGAACTCTTTAATAATCTGGAATATTATTAAAACTAATCAATCACCGATGCTTTTGTTAAATTTGTGAACATGTTTGTATAGACATTGGCATAAAATGCATCTATTATTCGTTAAAAAAAGGCTAATTTCGTCAGTAACGTTGTAATGTGCCGACTTATAATATAACCAAATATATACATAAAAACCAAACTCAAAATTCTGTTTGATTATACAGAATCGTTTTTATTATTAATTGCTCTATCAAGTTGATGTTCATAATTCTTTAAAAAACCATCTAGTTTTAAATCATAACTATTCAGTTTCTACAACATTAAATATAATAAATTATCGACGTTGTAAACATGAAGTGCGAGTAGAAATTTATGAAGTATAGAAACCAAAAAATAACATTAAATATACCTAATATAGCTGAGTAAAAATAATTTTAAATTAAAAGAATAACACAAGTTTTAAAAGATTTGACATTCGTTTTGTTATAAGTGTTTAATATTATAATATACTTCGCAAACATAAATAAGATGAAAAACCACATTTCCCATAAGAGATAACTGCCAATATATGAACTGTAATAATTTTATTAAAAAAAGTCACGGTTTTATAAGATATTCTAAAAGTGTAGACTGAGTTTAACAATTGTTATTACAAACAAATCTCAACTTCTTAAATTTGTTCATATTGAAGTTATTATGTAGTTGGTGGTTTTCGATAATTACTACATTGAAAGGGTCAGCAAAAATACCACGTGGAATATTATTAAAAATAAACAAATATAATTATATATACTAATCTAATTATTAAAAGTGATTTGATTGCCTTGTTAATCGTTATTATTTTATTGTTACAATGAACTTGGTTGTATGTATATACCTTCTTATTTCCGAAAAAAAATATAGTTATAGTTCATATATTATTGTTCGGTATAACAATTTTTTTATTACTCTTTCTAAAACGATATACATTCTATATACTATGAGATAACTTTTGGTTTGATTTTAATATAACTTTTTTATATCCAAAGATAAACAAGCATTTTTAAAATATGTGGAATAGAGGAAAAATACATTTTAAATAAACTTCGAAAACGTAAACGTGGCCATATATATTAAATACGAACCGGCAAAAATCGATGATTTGGTGAAAAAAAATTACATAAAAACCTGCGGATTGTATACACACAATGTATACGAACAAGTTTTGAGTGAATTAACCACATAATAATTCATCGCAACCCAGACGGGTATACGAGAAACGCTTATAAAATGTATAAACACTGAATTAGGTCTTGTAAAAAAAAAAAAACACTTTATTCGAAAATACCACGTGAACCACACACGAACATAACCACGTGTATACCAAATACACGCATAATATACATATGTACGTGAGATTCCGTTACTTTAGGCCAACGCGTTTGTACACTACTTCGGCGACAGACGATGATGAGGAATCGGCAAAACTACGGTAAACACATTTAAAAACACATTTCCTTTTATCCGAACATTTGCTTTCATTATAAATAAACAACGACTAATATTATTATTTCCGTGCGGTGTTTTTTTCTTTTTTCCCGCGTATACACACATCGGACAAGTCGCATTTGTTCTGAACGCGTGTGTCAAGCGGGTGTCAGTGGCCCGTCAATCAGACCAGTGGCGGTGCGGAGCAGCGGAGCGCGGCAACGGCTAATGGACCACCCGGTCCGTGTGATTTTTCAGCGATTCGTCCGCCAAGGGGATGAAAAACGAAGAGTTGGCCGTCGCGTCCGCGATTTCGTCGACAGCAAAAAGGACGAGCGAAAGGAGAGAAGAAAAAAAAAAAGAACGTAAATGAAAAAAGTAAACGTAGAAGCCCCGTAGGTATATCAATTACATATTAAATATAATACGTGTGCGCTCGCGCGTGTGTGTAATGTACGATATGGTGTCGGAGAATTAAAAATCATTTGTCCGGGGCCGGCCGAGGAAATCCGTTTTCGTCCAGGACCCAGGGCCGGAGGAACATCCCGGTTATTCAATCAAACGTCCCGTGAAATTGAATGTAAACACGCGCGACTATTAAGTTACCGCGAACGTTAACGCGATATCCAAACATCGCGCACGTTAAACACACACAAGACGCGAAATCCAATACGTCTTCGTCGTCGTCGTCGTCGTTGTTTTGCCGCCGGTGGATCTGATTGATAGTACAACCGCGCGCACGCGGCAGTGTTTGTTTTTGAATTTGCAGACCCAGAGACCCCGAAGGGTCCGGGATATCATACGGCGACCGCATACGCATGATAGTACTTGTTGAGATTTTGTTCTCCACGTCTTCGGGGGTTTGTTTTTCGTTTGCGATTAGGTTTTTTTCCTCTTTCTCTTTCCCTCCTTTTCCCCCTTCCACCCTTTTTATACGGTTCCCGCGTGATACGCGACTTCGACGTCTGGTCTATCGCGTACTCCGAGACGCACCGAGTGGTTTTTACGCGCACTTTTTGATTCACGAATGCACAAAAATCACGTGGCAAACGTCGTGATGACACTTTTAACCGTGCCATTAATTAATACTTCGATTTTATTGTTATTTGACGTTCTCTCTCTAACAACGCAATAATGTGATGCGAAAATATAGTATTTGTGATTTAAAAAAAAAATACTGCTTGTCCAGACGCGTAGCGACCCGCGCTAATGGCCTGACGCTCGAAAACAATTTAAATAAATAATACTTATCTCATCCCAATAAAAACAGTTTTACAGTGCTAAACTCTAAATTATACTACATGGTGCTCGAATGCAGAGGACACATATTTCGTATGACCTAATTTTTCAACCGTCAACATTGTCAATAACTATATAATTTACGTGTGATTTTTCTTTCAGTTCTCACGTATGACGAAATCCATCAAAGACCAGACTGATCCCAAACAGTACAGAAATCCGATTTATCTCAAATTATACTAAGAATATTTCACTAATTAAACAAAATCTTTTTCAAAACTAATACTAAACCAATTTTTATTCAATCCAGTGCGATTACGTGCTAAAATTTTTGCTGTACATTTGTACTTTTTTCCTGTTTGCATTAATTCATTATTATTACTTTTTCCTTCTTGATCAAATAGTTTATAGTGTTATAGTAATATCATAGTTATTTCTCCTACATGCGTTTTCTTAAGTAAATAACTGTTTGTGTTGGTATATTCATTTTATTATATTATTAACATCGTACAAATATTGACATAATAGTAATATTTTTTGCCCCTTTATTATAGAACTAATGCTGTACTTTCACCTTTGTATTACAATGTCTGCCTTCAATAAAAATACGATGCTCTCGAAATTGTCGATATAATTCTTCATTATTATAACGTAATAAAATCTAATCGATCAATAGAGTTAGAAAAAAATTGTTAAATTTAGTAGACACGTACCCAAACAAATATATCTTCCAAAAGACGTTTCAAACAGTTTTGAGAAAAGTCCAGAAATTCTCTTGTTTCCTGCCAAATGCACTATTGTTAGTATATGTTTGTCGAAACATTACCGTTTATCTGCGTTTCATTTATTTGACTTTGACACGAAATAATGTGGGTGGCCATGTACTTTAATTCATGTTCCAATTGCGTCGAGTTTTAAAAATAAAACAAATTAAAATGACAATAAAACAGACGTAGGAATATAGGTAAAAGCATTTATTTTATTTTAAATAAGACAACTTATAATCAACACAAATTATGAACTTATACAATCTTCTATATCTTATGTATATATGTATCAATATAGTATGCAATTTGGGCAATATAGATAACGGATGATATGATTTAATAAAATATGATAAATCGTAAAACATAGTTAAAATAAAGTCAAATTATTATCTGTAACTAGTTTGTGTGTTCTTATCGTATTTTTACAATGGAGATGTCCGCTTGTCCACATATTATACGCGTGTACGTGACATAATATATTATTACTATATTTACTGATATATAAGTTATATTGTATGAAGTTGCAGTGATTATCGTGCAGTCGGCCTTTTACCTATTCTCAAAAATGATCTATTTAATAATCGTGAATAGTTTATATAGTGCAGGTTAATTCATTCAATGCGTACCTAACTACTTATTCGAATATGGAAAAGTTTAATGAAAATTTAAACAATTTGTTAAAAAAAAGAGGTTCAAATACTTCATTTTTTACCAAGTTAAAATTTGATCAATTAATTTTACATAAAAATCAATTAAAAAACAATTCAAAGAAAAAGGAACCGAATGATTAAAAACTTTTAAAAAAATTTAACGTGTTAAAAGTTTCTGATGTTAATAAGTTAATTGCACCAGTATCTGAAAACAACGAAATCAAATATTATATTCATAATTAAGAGTTATTTGATGTTATACATAAGTTCATTTATCGATTGGACATGGTTGACGAAACAGGATGGAACACAAGATAAATACAAAATATAAAAATATCACCAGAGATATGATTATATTATAGTTAAATAGTTGCGAATCATGTAGAAGAAAAGGAAACATAGCCAAGAAAGGATTGGTGGTACAGTCAATTATATCTACTGAGATGAATTAATCAATAATATAAATACATGTCATTATTCATTGATTTATCATATTTCATTAAATCATATCATCTGTTATCTATATTGTCCAAATTGTATACTTTGCCCGTAACATATATATATATATATATATATATATATATAATCGAGTATTAATATTAATCGAATATTAACGGTAATGGCGATTTCGAGAATTTCATATCTGTTGAGCAGCAGCTGATGCGCATTCTGCACAGTTGGCCACATGACATGACTCGGCTGATTCAAGCAAAAAAGGCGGCAAATAAAATGGCGGCCCGCAAGAAACTCCAGTAGATTGTGCTCTAGAAAAAATGTGTTGGTTTATTTTTGTACTTGATTTGATAATATTCAATTGCATATAAATCGATGTACCCAATTATGAAATACTTAAAACATCATTTTTATGAGTAAAAAAACGTATACCTAGTTTGACTAAAATATACTTTTATATTTATTATATTTTACTAGTACACTATTATAAAAGTTCGATAAATTTATGTATTTTCAAAAAAAATGTTCAACTATATCAAATCATACGTTGGTAGTTCTTTTTTTCAATAAAAATTTGATTGACAGTAAACTAACACTTTAGAATAATTAACTCGTAAAAATATTTATAACAAACAGTTCTTTGTAATAATATAGTTTTACCTAAAATGATGAAACAACGTGGTTGGTTCTGGTACATGATATGTCAATCTAGTTGCCAGCTGTCTCCGAGTATTTTGATGAGCTACTGGAGGTTCACGGTGCAAGCCCCAAGGCATAAATGCGGAACCAATAGTATTGGTTTGAGGTACGTCTACTTTGTCTATAGAAAGAAAAGAGTAAGTTTAAAATTAACTTCACGTTGTTGTTGGTTGAGCATTTTATTTATTAAATATTTACCGGTGCTGGATTTTCGAGACTTGGGAGCGGTGGTCAAAGTCTTACATAAAGGTACACAGTGTTCAATCGCCTTGAGCAAATCATGTTCACATCGACGCAGTACAAGTTCCAAGACTGAACGTTTTTTTTCTGGAAACAACCGACACAGCAAATCAAGAGAACCCGGTGGTACTACTCCTTTAGCTCCATCCGACGTCTGAGTAGTAGCTGTTGGATTTTCTTCGGGCCGGGTAGTTTCTTCCATAGCTGAAAACGGTTTCTTACATTTATTTCGTCCTGGTAATCAAACTAGTCCATTTACGTACCAACGGGAGATTTAGAGGTCGGAACTGTTATTCCGAATATGGGACCTTGTGGTAAACATCCGTATTTAGTTCCAGAAGTAACAGAAGCTAATCCCAACGCTATAGCATCTTCCGCAGCTTGCTGCCTTTTTAACGCGACCTTTTTTATCAAACAATTTAAATGAATGAAAATACTTGTCGATTTTCAACTATCAAATAGTAATTTAAATGATCCTATTATACAAATAATGACGAAAATTCTAAGTATGAAGACTGTCGGTTGTTTCAATTAAATGTATAGGTACATAGTAAATTGAAAAACATAAAAGTAAATATTTTTTTAATTGATATGATAAAGTAAAATATAATATATATATATATTATTAAGTAATAAATACGAATAGTCATATACAATATTTTTATTACATTTTTCGAATTAAAAAAGTATTACAATTATTTTCATAACATTTTAGTATTAAATATATTTTAAATATTGGACATAATAGCAATTAGTCTTATAATATTTTACCATGAATTTATTGAAATATATAAAATGTAATTTCAAATACTTTTTAAGTAATTCTAATTTAACATTTTACATACTCAAATTTTAGTACTTTATACTAACTTAAACTCAGAATTAGAAACCAAAAACCAAAAGTATGGACATTAAAAATCGTAAATTTTTAACTATAATTAACGAGTTCTGGAGGATATGGATTTTAAATATTTATCACATATTAATGATATTTTTAAGTCAAAAACTTATTAATCAAAAATAAAATAATAATACAAGTAAATGTAATTAAAAATATTTTATACTTTATAAATCATTCAATAGCAAATCGCTGTACATTAGAATGAAGAAATTTGGAATTAGGATCCATAAGGAAGCAACAAGTTTTCTAAAACATAACAAAAGAATGCAGTATATGGCCCAATAAAATAAATATGTTCGAGGCTTTTAGGCTTGATATTAAACTTGTAAAATGTACTCGTATACTGTTGGTTGTAGTAAATTAATATCGTATTAAAAAAGTTGTAACTTTTTTTTTAAAGGTATAGTTATAAATTTTATTAAACAAAATAATTATTTGTATAATCTTTTGGATTTTTGGAAAGTTATAGACGCAACAAAGTTAATTTTTAATTGGTAATACAGTCAACTCGCGATATAACGAATTTCAAGGGACCGAGCAAAAAGTTCGTTACATCGAAAGTTCGTTACATCGAAATTCATTATATCAAAAGCATAAATCAACAAAATTTGTTTAAACGATATTTAAAAGAAAATTTAAATTTTATTAGATTTTTATAATTACATACCTACATACAATATGAGATTATTATTAAATATTTTATTAGATACATTCATACATTTTTTGTTTGTTACATACATACATATTTATTTTTTAAAAAAATATGATTTTTTTTTTTGTGTGTATCCATTTGCGCTTACACGATTAATAGTGTTGTTCAAATTTAGAATATTACAAAATACACTGTCGTCAATATCATGTCTTTGTAAAAAACTTAAGACGGCACGGAGACCTAATTTTGCTTCATTCGAGCTTACGGGGGGCTCTTCGTCATCAGCTTTATTCAAAATCTCATCGTCATTGAGAACTTCACAGACAACTAAACCTTTGTCGATAGCAACAAATTTTTATTTATATTTAATACAATTTACATTTAACAGACGTGTATCATATAAACGATACATGAACATTATCTTATCGCATAAGAATGGCCGAAACAAACTCGTAAAATGTGCTGTATCAATCTCCAAAATTGTAAAAATTCGTTACATTACGTGAATTTTAGCCAAAAAATCTTCGATATATCGAGGGGACCAAAATACATTTGATTTTTCGTTATAGCACGAGGTTTTCAAGGGTCCGACAGTTTTATACGTTATATCGAGATTTTCGTTATATCGAACTTCGTTATAATGCGAGTTGACTGTATATTCATTGTTATAGTGGTGTATTACTTATTTGAGAACCCCAGGTTTTTTAAATAAATTTAAATAGCCTCCTTTAAACAACTTTAACCATTTAAATATATACTAGATAATATATACAGTCATAAATATACATTATATTTATATATATCTATATTTATATAATATACAGAATCTAAAATAAATATGTTAAAAAAATATTTTGTATTGTATATTATATTGTAAAAAATAACGTGTATTCTATATACATTTATTTTCTGCTTAAGAATTACTTATGATTTTTTTTCTACCAGATCATTGAAGTTAAATAATTAAATTCAATAAATTTCTCTTATCACTAACATAAAGTATCCGATAAATTACTCGACAGTATTTAAAATAAGTCTTGTTAACATTTATCTAAAATAACACGCAACCATAAGTATAATAAATGAAAATAATTGATTACCAACCTTTCAAATTTTAAAAAGTATAGACATAAAATAGAAAATTATTTTATTGGTATAATTTTTTTTTTTTTTTATGAATATATGATACTTGTAAATCCAGCAAAAATAATTATTAAAGATAAATGTTTAGCACAACTTACCTGAGCAGCCATTACACGTTGTCTTTCGGCTATGAGATTGCACTTGGGACACACGCATTCTTTATAAGAACACCGTTTTTTGTGGCCCTTCAACCACGATATAACTCCATGGTTTCTACATCTTGCACACTTCGGTCGTCTTCCCTCGGAGCTGTCCATATTGCCGTCAACAGAATGATGATCGTAGATGACCTCGATGCGGTGGCAGAGTAATGCGAGACTTCATTGGGCGGAGTCAGCTTGTCATTGGTCAGCTTCAAGACAGAGATCATCAATGTCATCGCACTGCCTCGCCTATACATCATATTAGATTAAATGAAAAAGTAAGCAAACCTATTTTAAGGAAATATATATTAGTTACACACAACCAATTGTTATTCCCTCCATGTATTATTCGATAACAGTTTATATTAAAATAAGAATTTTTTTTTAACACTTGATTTCCCATGATCTTTATTATACTCGTATTATTAAATCTAAATTAAATATAAACACACTATTATATGTATGAAGTGATTCAGTAGCGTATTTTCAAATTGTCAGGAGGTGGGGGGTCCATAGCTTATACATAATTAGTATAAACTTTGATTGCTTGATACAAGTTACGAGCAATAGCGTACGCAAGATTTTTTTAAGGGTGAGGAGGCGTCATAATATACAAGAATTTATGACCATTTTTTTTTTTTTTTTATTCATCACTAAAAAATCTCCTCTTCCCACTATTTTATAATAATATAATTAATGAAAACAAAATAAATATCATGAAATAAGAAAAAACATTAAGGTATATATAATATATACATAACCATCAAATAAATATAGTATACATATTTTTAAAATCAAGTCAGCATAACGATTTTATTAACCTCCTCAACTTCAACTTCAACATCCGACTTCATAATTAATATTTAAAACTACTTAACCATAAAGCTTTAAATGAAAATTTTGAAGATCAGTCTTAATTATTTTTAATGTAGAATAATTTCTGGTTCACACCAGTGTATACAGATTTAGTGTTGTATAAATATGAAACTTAACTGTTGAACTACGTTGTCTACAAATGAAAGTAATACAATAATTTAAAAAAAAAATGTTTAGGGTCACCTATAGAACAATTTGATCTATGTTTTGGTCGTTTAAACGCTTATGTTACTGTTTCTTGAAAATGTTTTATCAGGAAAATTTCCTTTTTTTTTTTAATCATGGTTTCATAATTTGAAAAAATACTTTAAATTATTTGTCAGGAGTGGTGGGTGTTATAACTCCCTGACACTCCCCTGCATACACCACTGGTTACGACCCTATACAGTTTTTAGAGGGGGTTAAATTAAATATATACTCGTATGGTCGTATATTATATTATATATATATATATATTTATTTATATATATATATATATATATATATATATATATATATATATATATAT